CGGCAAAGAGTTGGAGTTAGAGTTACCGGCATTTCATGCCCAAATATAGTAATAATATCTCGGTTTTCAATCTCGAGAGAACTCGAGTTACTCAGGCGAGTGCATGCGTTCGGATGCCTCCCAGTAACTCCGGGCGGTTGTTATCAGAGCTCACGCGCACGTCGTAACTTGTCTCGAGGCTCTACCCTTTTGGCAGCCTGCTTGATTCTCTCTTTCTAGAGTATTGGGATGGCTACCATGATCGACGTGGAATGTGATCAGACATCTGAGGCCATCCTACTTGAGGCCTGAGGGATTAGAGCAGCTACTACCGAGGCCCGCCTAGTCAAAACAATGACAGTTACTGCTATTATAGCCTGTCTTCGGCGCTCTATATGAGCCCGATATTAGGTTGGTGAATTTTGACAGCTGCTCTTGTGCGGACCATGGTGAAGCAGGGATGAAGCAGAGCCCATCTGATAAGCCATAGCTATTGGTATACATACTACTGTACGAGTTCAGGGCGCTTGTCTCCTCCGGATTTCACGGATACTCCGCCCCTGTAACTCTAACTCGCGCAGAAATCCTCGGAAGTGTCGCCACGTGACAAAATGCCGGTGACTCGTAACTCCAACTCTTTGCCGAACAGGCCCTAAGACTTACAGAGCTCGACTTAGGCCATTGTGACCCCTCTGAGGCCCACTGCAGCCAACAATCTGAGATACAAACTGAACGACAATCCAATCTAAGTACCCAAAATGTTCTAACTCGACTAGAGCTTTGACAACATGCTCGAAGTTTTGTCCAAGTCCACTAAACCTGACCTTCCCAAACTCCTTGCAGAACCAATCGATGTTCTGTTGCTGACTGCGAGTCCACGAGGTGCTGTTCTCCGTGATGTTGTCAAGTATCCACTCGAGTCTGTCGCCAATGCGCTGAAGGGCAAGCCGATGATCGTGGGGGGTGTCAAGCAACTGATCCTTGCGATCGAAGATGGCTTGCAGTTTTTTGATGACGGCGTTGACCTTTGAACTGACGATAGCGAGGAGGTCGACGGGATCACGACGTGCGAAGGAGGGAAGAGATGGTGCAGCGATACGGTACTGAAGAGGGACCATAGGGATTGAGGGGACAAAAACTGGTGGGGGTGTGGTGAGACGTGCAGCGAGGGGTCTGTCGAGCGGCTAACTGGGGGGCACAGATGGTAGGAGGACCTTGCGACGAGGGATGATTGGGGTATGCCGATACTGACGGCGATGACGATGACGATCTGATATATTCTCGGCAAGGGCGTGGTCAATCTGGGACTGGACGTCGAGGTGACCGTGTCTCTTGAAGTGATGACGGGTAAACTCCGATAGGTCCGAGTCGGATGGAAGGGTAGTGGGGGGGGATGATAAATGTTTCAAAAAACTCCTGGGGGAAGAGATCCGGTCCGCAAGTGGTTGAGACACTCCACGGAGGGGATGGGTAAGAGACTTGATCTAATGTCACAGCCAACGAGCTGTGCCACCAGACAAACAAAGACAAGCTTACTGGTGATGGGGTTGGTGCTGAGGGGCGGAGCAACTCCAGGTGACACAGCAAGAGATGGTGCAAAAGAAGTAGATTCCCAAAACTAGAAGGGGCAGTGAGAGGTAGGGCTGCTAGCTACCTACAGAGGAGATGGGTGATTGACAAGAAGATCAAGTCTGAGGTTTCCCNGCCTCAGACTCCCTACTATAT